GAGACAGGTGGGTAGCCATTATGAGAGAGGAGGAGAGAGAGAGTGATCAAGGCTACAGAGAGGTCAGAGCGAGGTCACGTGTCACTCACTCCTTTAACAGAATTTCCACTTGTCCGTATCGCGGTCYGCTCTCCTCCYTCGGCTCGTTCCAYGGAATCACTTCTTCGCTCTTGAGGACCTTCTCGGGTCGGTGCAGTCGTGTCAACCCGTCAGCATTCCCGTGCCTCTCGTGCTTCCGATGGAGAATGTCAAAGTCCATGCTTTGTAGCACTGTYGCCCATCTYCCGATCATGCCCGAGTAATCCTTAGACTTCTTCAGGGCTAATAATGGCTCATGATCGGTRACCAGTGTGAACTTYCGYCCRTACAAATAGGCTCGAAAGTGGTTGATCCCCCACAGAGCGACATAGCATTCACCTGTCGGGGCGGCGTACTTGCGCTTGCAAGCAGACACCGACTTAGACGCGTATTCCACCACACATTCGAGTCCGTCGGGTCCCACCTGGGCCAAGATCGCTGAGATTGCCTCCGGCTGCCAGTCCGTGATGAGGACAAAAGGCTTTGCAGGATCCGGTCTTATATGACCGGGGCCGAAATAAGGGTTGTCTTGAGTTTCGAGAACGCCTGATCCTTGTTCAGTAGATTCGTGAGGGGACCAGAAATAGTTGCGAAACCCTTGATAAACCTTCGGTAGTACGAGGCCAGGCCCCAAAAGGCGCGAACTTGCGTGATAGTCATGGGCACAGGTGCGTCTCTCATTGCGGCCACCTTTTGTGGTTCCGGTCTGAGTCCCTGGTCGGTCACCACGTGTCCTAAGAAGGAAATAGTGGTGAGAAAGAACTGACATTTTTCCAGCGCCACCTTGAAACCAGCATCTCTCAAAGCGTGCAGCGTCCACTCGATGTGCTGCACATGCCCTTCGTAAGAACTCGAATAGACCAGAATATCATCCATATACACGATTACACAGGAATTGATGATGCTCTGTGTCAGCCGTGTCTTCCGCACAAAGTTCTGAAAAGCCATATTCATGGTTCGCTAGAAGGTTGCTGGAGCATTACAGAAGCCCATCGGACATCAAACTCACTGCCAAGTTCCTTCGAATAGTACAAATGCCGTTTTCGGATGGTCCTCCTCTCGAACAAGAAGATGATGAAACCCATGATGAATATCAAACTTACTGAAAAATCGATGTTCGGGAGGCGATATCGAAAACGACCCGTGGATGACCGTCGTCCCCTTCTTTGACAAGCCTATCGATGTGTGGTCCGAGGCAGAATCGGATAAAGTCATCTTGGCAAGGAAATGCCCATGGCATAAGGACTACAAATTTGCTTCCGCGATGGAGTGGGGAAGTCTGATCAAAGTACCTCATTATGCCATTGGTGTTAGACAACTTCCGTCCCTGCGCGCCGCGCTCAGGCAGGAAGAGAATAACCGGTTTTACCTTCGCCTGGACAACGTAACGAGGTCACCTCGGGTGTGGTGTGCGGACTTGAAACAAGAGTTGTTGGACTGTGCATCCTACAATCCGTTTTTGGAAGTATATCCGCTGCGTGGTGCCGGGTTACAACCAAAAGATGTGTCATATTGTTGCACACGGTTGTCTGTGGCCGGTTCCGACTTCTGCAGAGTGTTGTGTGTGGCATGTTCAAACCGAAAACGGACTTTGGTAGACGCTGTAGTGCTAGTTTCTTGCAACAACCTTAGAATCTATGGTTGCAACATGGGGAGTTTGCGCCTTCTGTGCGAGAACGGACAATCCGATTTGGATATTGCCAGTCGAATTGATGAGGTTCATAAGTGGCATGAGGTAGAGCAGGTGACATGTTGTGTGCGTGACGCCATCGGTAAGTCCTTGGCAGGTGTGCCTGTAGGTTTGTAAGAATGAAGTACATTTCGGTGTTCTCGAGGGTGGCGACGAAGGGACAGCCACAAACCCTTGTTTTCGGGTCGTCTATGAATGCCTTATACGGGTTTGGTTCTAAAGGGATGCGGGGACATCGGTAGGAACTTCAAATTTTGTAAATGATAGCATTTTTGAAAATTTACATTTTTGCGGCTCGTAGCGTTTCATGTAGACGTAGTTCAATGTACAGTTGGCTTGTAGCATTTAATATAGACGTACTTCAATCTTGCATTTGCGATTTCTTGCATGTGTCGGTACAATGTTGAACTTTAGTTACCAGTACAATTTTTGGCTTTTAATTTTTCATGGGTACGACATTTCTTGAAGTGAGACAAAATCCATGGTACTTACGTGAATTTCAGTTTCATATGACAATGTCATATCGGTTTATGATTTTTTGTCAAAGTGCGTCGGAATCCATACATAAACCATTTAGTTTCGCCTTCACACAATGTCATGTGTAGTACGTCTGATTCAAGTGCATTTCAATGTATGACAATGACATGTCAGTTTCGTCTTTAAAGTCACATAAATTGTCGAAGTGTGATAGAGTCCAAAATTATCGAAGCATCACAGTGTTGGAATCCATCCTTAAATCACACCGAACAGACTGGGTGTCACGTCTTTTAATAAGTACTATTTAGTACATAAATTATCGAAGTGCGATGGAACCCATAGCCACTGTACTTAAACCGTAATCTCGTTTGTCGTGTCATTCGTTTGTCGTGTGATTCGTTAAACTTTGTCGTGATTAGTATACATTTAATACAGTTAAAGCAAAAATTATCGAAGTGCGACGGAATMCATACTTAGTCTAGACTATTAGTACTTAAACCATCCGTGTGCTTGCCGTAAATGTCCCACTTCGATTGAGTTTCAATAAATTAAGGGAAGTCACAATGTCATCTAAAAGAGGTTCGACTCAATGCTGACTCAAAATTGAGCAAGGTGTAAAAAAATCGAGAGTTCAACAATTCATGTTATAACCGTAACGACTTTTAAGTTACAAAATTGATGGAAGTGCAATGAAATCTACACTTAATCCATCATGATCAGTAAGTGATTGCCTTGAATCTCCGGTTTAGATTCAATTTATGGCCTCTCAATTGCATTCTTCGGGTTCCTAAGTTCCATTCAGGTCCAAAATATAGCGATTTTAACATGAAATTAATAGCGTCCGAGTACCAATTTAAAATATATTGTCCTATTTTAACGAATAACATGTTCTAAACGACCAGCAAGGTCCGCTCAGCCTCCTCCATCATGTGAGGCGGGGGCGAGCGAATAGATTTCATATTGTTCGTTCGGAACGTTTTGACGTCACTGTATTTTATGACGAGGCTTGCGAAATCTACGAGCACCTCTTCTAACAGATGACTTATTCGGTGTGCAGATACCTAGCGGACGGTGGGACTTCACTCAGGCCCAGATATTAGCTAGTCCGCAATACTATAGACGAGGAGCTGATCCGGCACGCGGAGTGACTACTGCTGGTTCGGGATGGAGCGCCCACAGGTTGGACTGGGTTTATTGGCCTGCTAAGTGATGGGCAGGGATGTTTTCCTAACTCGCGCGCGGATGTTCGTGCCAATGTGGCCCGACTTCCGGAAGAAGTTTATGGATATACCTTATATTTTCATCGCGCGAGCAACCTCCAATGCCTTTCTCGGGTCATTGTGAGCGTCAAAATTACCCTATTCGGGAAGCGCTACAGCGTCATCCGGATTAAGGACACCACGACCACGCACCGGTTTCGGATGCGTCAACCGTTCCACGACATAGTTTGGAGGCTCGCCTCACGGGTGGCTTCTCTCTATGATGCGCGGAAGGTTCGAGTTTTGCGAGGTGGGCGCGTCTTCACCTTGACTTTTGACGACGAGGAGCTTATACGACTCGACCGGATAGAGGCTGAGGCCCGTGAGGGCCGACAAGTTTATCCCGGCTAGGCCCGTCCTCTCAAGTCGGGTGCAGTGGTAAGTCGTCCTCATAGTAGGGTCACATTACCTTGCTCTACGAGAGTAATAACAAAAAAAAACACAATTTATATAGATAGGTCCCACCAGATAGATAGGTCCCACATTACCCCGATGATTTCACTATCATGCTTATGCATTGAGGGGTAATCGGTTGCTTAAAAATAAGTCACACAAAATGAAAAGCGAACACTTGAAAAGGTGTTGAGCGGAACAACGAGGGCGAAGTAACAGGAGACGAAACTTTTTCATACCAAGTAACCTGGTATTCGAGATGTATACATCACCATTCGTGGGACAGATAGAGTATTATCACCTAGGAGGACAAAGCGACCAATAAAATTACATTCGCTCTTCCAAGTAGTTGCCCATGATACAGAGATGTGACCGAACCGAGAGTTCAAACATCGACCAGAAACCAGATCACTTGCTGATCTGCATGGTACAAGTGGTATTTGCTTGTAGATGTTGTTCATGAAGGATCGCCCGTCCTCGGACGACAGTATAATTGTCTCTTCAGTCATGTAGGCAGAGAATGATAACCTTGGTAGATCATTTCATCAAGTCGAAATGTTGTTTATGTGTTGATTTCATTCATTTTATGAGTAGGGGATCGTGGGTCTCACGTTTGGTCAAGACCGTCCTAGTCGACCGACGTTCGTTCGTACCGAGGAGATCGGCGCCCTCTCGGACGGATAACGTTCGGGTCCCCTTGGCGTTAACCAAGCGTGCCTATACTCCAACAAGCGAGCAAACGCCCTTGGCTGACCTACCTCTGCAATTGCATATAAAAACTTTCGCACGTGGGTCAGTAGCTTGGTAGGGATACGCCCCTGAGGGTGGTGACAGCCCCTTAGGGAAGGTAAGGTGTGCCCCGCGAAAACCTATCATGTCGTAGGGGAAGGGAATGTACAGTTGGCGTACCCGGTTAGAGTGGCGACGGAACGACTCGACCTCGATCGCTTCGGCGGTTCGCGGATTATTTATGCGTCGTCCTAAGTTGTCTCTTGATTTTATTTTTGTTTTAACTCTTGCGTGGCATAGTTAGGAGGGCTCCCGTGCTTGCGAAAAAACCGGAAGCCGATGCGCGCGACAGGTGGCGCAGTTGCCGGGGACAGCGGCAAACTATTGTTGTCTCGGGTGGAACGACACTTGGAAAAAAGATGGTTACAGTAGTTTTAAGTGTTTTGTGTTATATGTTTGGATTGAAAGTAGTCAATGGCTATCAATGTTTGGAGAAAAAAAAGAAGGCAAAATTATCGGAGCCTGTTTGACATTTGGACATGTGGGTTTTGTTGTGTTGATTCACTCAATATGACGGGAGGAAGTGTCGATCCCGCGAATAGCAATACAGGGGATCGACGCAATGATATTTTGGAACTCACACGAACCATTCGAGAAACCGATAATCAGAAGGCACAACTGCCGAAGGTTCAAGTTTCTCTCTTCGATGGCACTAATGTCTCAGCATGGGCGGACAAGTTTGAACAATTGGGCAGTTGTTGTGAATGGACGAGTGAGAAGATGCTTCAAATGGTAAAGCGGTATTGTCAAGTTGGATACAAAGAAGAAGTGTCGGAATTGGTGCAATCCTCGCGCGACTGGTCGGACGTCAAGACCAAATTATTGGAAAAGTACCAATTGGGGGATCAACTGCTCGACCTGGCTGACTTACGAAAAGTCAGTCATCGGAAGTTTGGTACGACCAAGCAGTTTCTCACGGAGTTCGAACGAGTTGCTCGTTTAGTGTCAGATCTTCCAGATAAGGATCGATGCCTTATCTTCCTCGAGAACTTTTTGGAAGTGGAGCAACGGAAATTGATTAAAGATATGGCTGGGCGATACGACTGGCCAAAGATCAAGAAAAATTTGTTGGCTGGAAGCTTTGACCAGATGCTTTACCGTCTCCTGAAGCAACAAAAGGAGGATCGGAAAAAGGAAGGGGTAAGCGCGGACAAGGATCAAACCGTTTACAAAATTCTGACTGATATGCGAAATATGATGGCTGACATGAAGGAGGAAAGGTTAAAGTTACAAGTGATGATGGTCCAAACAAAAGGTGGAAAGAGGAAGGGGAAAGCACCCGTTGTGGAAGAAGTGAGCAGTAGCAGAAGTGAAGAGGAGGATGAGGAGGAAGTGCAGCCCGCTCGGAAGCTGACCAAGGCAGAGCGGAAGGCCCTGAATCAGATACGAATAATGAAGGAGGCGAAAAATGTGGTAATCAAGAACAGGAATAGGCGGCTCAATGAAAGAATAATGAAGGAGGCGAAAAATGTGGTAATCAGGAACAGGCGGCTCAAACCCCTCCTCAGCAACCCCAACCCCAGGCAGGAGGCCGAGGCCGAGGTAGAGGACAGGGCAATGGGGGAGGTCGAGGAAATGGGGCCGACCGAGGCAATTGGCAAAATTGGTTTTGCAAGTATTGTGGTCAAGATGGGCATGGGATACGGTTTTGTCAGACTGTTACAAAAAATGAGAACGATAAGGTTATATATACGAATATCTGAGGCGAGGTTTACGACTTCGAAGGAAATCTTATCGATCCAAATGTGGAAGGAGACATGAGAAACAAAGCTTTCCGACGTATAGGGCGAGATATTCCGGCAACTTTCCGACTGGCTTCCCCGGAAGAAAACAGACAATTTGAGTTGGAAGTTGCGATGGGATTATTAGCGATTGAGGATCCCAAGGCCGAAGATAACGGTCTGCGCAAAGAACAGGGAGAAATATTGCAGCGAGCTCAGACAGTGGTAAAGAAGATGAACCGATGTTGGAAAACTTTCGTTCAAGTATGTGCCAACATGAATGAAGAATGGTCCGGGCTTCCCCAAGTTTTTTTGTTTGGGGGATGGGACAGAGACGGCCAAGGAGGTCTTACCGATGTTAGTACATCACAACCTGGATCGTCGTCGGCAGGGCGTTTGATGGCCCCTACGATCTTGTCCCGTCCTGCTTTCAAGCGACCTGCCACTGCTGCCCTCCCTCAAGCTCGGAGGGCTTGAAGGCCGCCGCGCCCAAGGGCAACGCCAGAAGAAGGGCCAAGTCGGCCTCCGGAAAGCGAGACAATTCCGATTGAAGAGGACGATGGCGAGGAGGACGAATTGTTGCGAGCCGAAGATGAGCGGCAGGCCAAACAACGGTGTGAGGAAACCCGGGGAGGGGCGCCTGCCGTTCGCTGAGGCCAAGGGCAACAGCGCCTGTCACTCGCTGTGCCCACATCAGAGGTCCTCAGCGGTCGGTAGGGAGATGAGCGTATGTTTGCCTGTCACTACCTTTCCGCGAAGCGAGTTYGAAAGCCCTTTTCCACWGCGCTKCAAATTTAGAAWTGAAATAATCATCATCCCAAAATATTCMATTTCAAGAGTTCYTTTCAGTGCACGGCAGATTCAAAAGCGAAATTATTTCCAATTYAGTGTATTCCGCTTCAATCCGATCCAACATACATCAACGCTTGYCGTCATGACGAACAGCTCTCTCTTCGATGGACAATGGCAACTGCCATTGTGCTCAACTGACCATTACTGTTTCACTATGCCCCCATGAATGCTCGGTTTAATAATTGGAAATGTACCCCTTTGCCGCTGAGAAGTTCAGAATGAGCCGTCTTTACTGGTGAGGGTAGGCTGACAAATTGAGCACTTTCATTTTCCATTCACTCAGTGCAAATGCATCCGGCAACGCACGTGACCAGGAGCGTCTAATGAGAGGCCTTTTTTTTTTTTTTTTTTTGTAATTAATACTAATAGTACAAGCAAAAATTATGAAATGGTGTCTCGAGAGACCTCTCTGTACTCGGACTAGAATGCAGTGG